CCTCATCCTTCATCCTCCGGGAACCCCCTTTTTAAACATCTCCCTGCTCCTCCTCCAAGCTGCACCACCGCGCTCTCCTCCTCCAAGCTGCCTGCTCTTTCCTGGATCCCAATCTCCTCCATCAAGCTTCCTGCATCCTCCATGCTAGCTGCACCCTGCATCCTCCCGAATCGCAATCTCCTCCTCCATGCTCCAAGCTGCTTCTTGCTCAGGCTCCCAGATCCTTCTCCATCCATCTTTTACCTACACACTCTCCTTCATAGAAACCTCGTCAGTACCATCAACACTCCTCCACCACCTGAACTCGACTGTGCCGCACTGCACTTGTTCGTCAGGCTTCCCCTCTGATCAGTCAGGCTCCCCAGACACCTTTCTGATCATCTAGTCTTCCATCCCATCATTGTGCTTCAAATCCCATCGATTTCAATTGTCACCCATCTGACTTTCTCAATCCAAATTTTCCACCCAATGATGTCCACCATTCATGACCAATGTGTTTGTCCTAACTATCCTGCTCTACGGGCCCTTCTAACAAATCGCTATCTAACCGCTGAAAGATTGATTTGGCGCCATATCACCTGAGAGCTCTTGAGATTTCATTTGCATGCATGTTCATTTCAATTCTCATATTGACCATATGATCTTCTTTCATTTGCCTTTCCCATCAATCATCTCTTCATTTTCGATTTCTCAATTTCTCAACGGCCGATTTTTCATCAATTTCAATTCTAGGTCTTGTATCTTGCGATCATGATGGGAGGCTTCACATCCTAACCTGCTTGACTTGACCTAGAGTTCCTTGAACAGTCTTCGGGAGAAGAAGCTTGATACCACGCCATGCCAATCATCTGATTCTACTTCTCAATATCAAACCTTCCTTCCAAGGTTCTCCCTCCCTGAATCAGAGATTGGTGCAGGCGATTGCTCGTTGATACCAGCTGTACGATGAACCCCATTGTATTCAAGCTGGGATGAATCCCACTGAAGTTCAAAGTTGCTCCCAAAGCGCTGTCTCCAGGCAGTCTCTACAACTACAGTCAGCACACAGTTGCGACAGAAATCATACTGCGTTGATTCTGTAGAAAATCTTTCCCCCCATGTCCTGCAACTGCGCCTCCCATGGCTGACTTCACTCCACTCAACCAGCATGAACTCCACCCTTCGCGTACTACATGTCAAGATGCTCACAGAATGCCATCGTTCTCATTAGGATGAGAGTCATCACTGCAGCATACCCCTTGAGCGTTGAAATCTTCTCCAAATAGAAACGAACCAATTGCTTTCCACCTCGTAAACGGCAGAATTTTCGTGAACAGGTCCGCAGGCTGAAACTTAGTAGGAACTTTCACAGGAAGTAATTCTCCCTCATCCACCATGAGAACAGCAAACTTAGCACGTAAGTCGATGTGCTTCAGTCTAGAATATGCTCGTTTCTCGGTCAACAAACGAATACACGGCTCATTATCCAGCAGGAGCCTCGTCGGACGTTGCTGACAAAACCCTAACTGTTGAAGTAAGCTTCGATACATCTTGATATGCTTGGCGACTACCGATGTCGCATAGATTTCTGCCTCTGACGATGAAAGTGATATGACTTTCTGCGCTTTCGAACCATATGAAATAACTCCTCCGTTCATTACGATAGCCCATCCGGACTGACTTCGTCGCGTCAAGACATCCGTCCCCCAGTCACTATCACTCGCAGCTACGAGTTCATTGTGAAACACCTCCTGATTAACAGATACACCTCTCTGATGGTAAACAATACAAATATCTCTCGTCGTGTACAGATACCTCGCCAAGTGAACCAATGCATCCCAGTCACGCACTCTGGGTGCCCGTGCAAATCTGCTTAAGAGACTGACCGCGAAGGAAATGTCAGCTCTTGTCCCATTAGCAACGTACAAGATTGTTCCAAGAAGAGCCTGATATTGTCTCACCGAGAACTTATCCAACAATTCTCCCTCTAGATGATAACTCCGCATGTACACTCCAGGCAAGATAGTAAACACTGAACGAAGAGCTATTCCAAATTTCTCAACCAGCTGTTCAATAAAATGCTTCTGACTCAAGGTAATAGTTCCTTTCGTCAAATCTTGGTGAACACGAATACCCAGGAATGTACCTGTAGCTTCACTTCCAGAAAAGTCGAATACCTTGCTCAAGCAGTCCAAAAAATAATTACAGACTTCTTGATTCTCACATACCAGAAGAAGATCATCCACCCATGTCGTGATGAGAATTCTTGAGCCGTTGTGTTCATATCTGTAAATGATTTCATCATGGCCAACAGGTTCCGCGCCCAGACGCAGGAATTCTCGAGACAGCTTTTCCCACCATCGTCGCGGAGCCGTTCGCGTCCCATATATCGCTTTGGTTACTTTGAGCAAAACATTCGGAGGCAAAGCCATGATGTCAGGCGGTATCATGAACATCGGTTCGTTCAATTCACTGTATAGGAACGCTGCCGCGATATCTCGGTAGGCGATAATCCATCCATTTCCTGCCGCTATGCTGAGTAACAACCGAATGTTATCCATCGACGTCGTCGGCGCAAACAACTCCTCGGACGTGGGTAAAAGATTGCCCATCACAACCAACCTTGCTTTTCTCTTCAGAATGTTGCCATGTAAATCTTTCTTTGAGGAATAAACCCACATCGCTCTCGCAAGTATGTTGCCTCGTGTTTCATCAGACCTCGGGACCACTTCCCAAACTCGCCTTTCTTCCATCTTCTGAATCTCAGCTCGTTCAGCTGCCTCCCACAATTCTCTATCCTTGTGCAACAACATCTCCCTTCGATTGCGTGGATCTGCCGTCGAACTCGAGTCTTGTACTGATGGCGGAGCTCGCGACAGAAATGCTGCAGAGAGTTTGACAGCTTCCCATACAGGAACAACTAGCGCCATGTTGGTGACAAGCATACGAGAGTCTGGAAAACATTGTGTCAACTCACTTGTACCAAGATCAATACAATGTCATCCCCTGGCTCCATGAGTGGAACCACATCATTCCACCGTTCCCGTCTCAATGGTATCCATCGTGCAGAGTGCTGAGAAGTAGTCGAACGATTACCCTCGTCCAATACGAACAGTACCTCTTTTCCATCGCCGTTGAGCACCTTTCCAGGTACCAGCTGAGATGACAGAGGAGACTTCCTGTGCATAAGAAAGACATCGGGATTTCCTCGAACTGTCTTTTCCACCAGCTGCGAAAGGATGTTATCCCCCTTTTGAGGAAACGCTCGAAAGTAATAATCGTTACACCCAGTCAACTCGAAGACATTCTTCGGCAAAACTCCTGATTGTAGCTCATCCCCAGGCAACAACTCAGATGTCTCTGCCTCCGACATAGCAATCATGGTAACTTCCTTCCCCATAGACAAAATCCGTACGTTCTCACTGTCCGGATGGATTAATATCCAGTACTTGTCGTCAAACGTAACACGCACCAAGAATGTATCATCTTTGAAGACAACTTGAGTAATCGTCCCCGTTCGAACCTTCCCATCATCCATTACAACTTCAGCCCGCCTGTTGATGAAGCGGTTTTCGGCATCCCGTCTCTGCTTCATTCCATGGTATTTTCTAATGCTCGCTTTTGATCATTTTCGAGCGGGGTACCTCAGCCCAGGATTTTTGAATGGTCGGCGCACCGAAAATTTGTACCAGAAACTTCGATAATGGTTGAAAGTATGTTTGAATCGGGGACCGTGTCGAGCAGTTTTAGGTTTACAAGTATTCTTGCTTCCTCCAAACAACAAGGTTTCAAACATTAAAACTATTTTTGACCTTACACGCTTTTACACGCCTGGGGGGTGCATATACAACCAAATCGCCTGCCCTACCCTTCCCCCATTGCTGCATCCCCACCCGCCGGCGCAGGCGGCGTTTGTTTGAATCCAAGATGGCTCTCAGCCAATGGCTCTTTCATCGTATTCAAGCTCCAGGCCATCCAAGGTTGGATCATGTGTGAATGTTTGTACTTTTTGCGGCATACTGCAAGACGACATTTCAAACAGCTCGAGCTTGTTTTTCAAAGGAAGCTGTAGGAATCAGCATCGCCATGGATTCCAGGGCCTAGGGCTGTTTTCGAATCCTTTTGATGCTCATTGTAAGATGGAGAATTGCTCGTTTTTGGTGATCAAGCATCCACAACCCTCTTTCGTATGATTGAGCTTCGAGCACATCTCTGACTGTAGAGTTGTTTGGTGTCAAGATTGTTTCTCGTAAAGGATCTCTCTGATTAGGCAATTTATTGTTGTTTTGGTTGGCATTCTACAAGACCCATACTTCCTCCTCTCTGTGTCAACCAAGCACATAAGCATAAGGCATGTCAGTCGTGTAGGCAACTTGATTGCAAATAGATCGCAGGTGTAAGATCGATGAACTATTCAACGCCATGAATGCCGGATGTGAATGAACTTCCCTCAGGACTTCTCAGTATCAGAACCAGCGAGCTAAGACATAAGGTAGAGTCTCCATTGAATATCATTCCTGCGAATGTAATGTTTTTATCAGTTGTGGGGAAGAGAAGCATGGAGACAAGCGGGTGCCCAAGCGAATAGGAGCATCTTGCGGATGTAGGTTTGGACAAAGACGGCGATGATTCCGAGGTTGTGAAACAGGCAGCGAAAAGATGCTGAGGTTTTCGGAGTTCATAAACATGGCTTGTGACGAGCATGTCACACGTAAAGCGATGGAAAACAACAAACAAAAATTGTAAAGCAATCGAAAGCAACGAAAATCAATGGAAAACAACAAACAAAAATTCTTCTCAAAGGTCTCACTCTTTGACTTCAACCACTGATTGAACATCTTTTTGACCTCGGTCATATCTCGACAAATCCGATTGTACTCCGCCACTGAACAGAAAGTTGTTTGCGCCATCTTTTCAACGAGTGGTGCCGGGTTTGCAATCGAGAAGTGAGAGATTTCACAGTATTTATTATTTTCGATGTCGTCTTCATGAAAAAATATATACCCATGCACTCTGAAATTATCGTGGAGATCATCGTTGGCATGCTCCAACATGCAAGGAAAGCTGAAGAAAAACATTTTTGGTATAGCATTTATTTCATCCGTATCCTTGTAAATTGATTGATAACAATCACGGTTTCCACCTTTGTTCAAAATTCTTTTCAGGGCCACACAGGGCACTCGATTAGTTATAATGGTTTCGTCTACATGTTCCAAGAGGACTCGATTGTACATGATGTACACTTCGACAACCTGTGCATCTGAGTGCAGCGATTTGATCATGCCCAGTCGATTCACTTCAACGCCCCTGTGATCTTCACACTGATATTGAACCCCTGTGCCAGGCTCAAGTATGATATTCAAATTACTGCCTGGCTTTTTCCAGTACATCCTGGGCAAGTCTCGATCATCAACTGACGTATGCAGGATCATTCGAGCTTCAAATCTTCAGGTGTCTTTGACTCATCACAAGTCTCTTCCTGCTCCAAGAATGTATCGAAATCTTCCTGCCTTCGCCTTCTCTGAATTCCATTTGTTGCTGATACACGACGGTGAAGATTCATTTGTTTGGTGTCTATAACTGGAGCGCAAGGGAAAGGGAAGCAACGGGGAGGGAGGGGAGCAGGGGGGAGGGAGGGAGCAGGGAGGAAGGGAGGCGAGCAGGGGGGGAGGGAGGGAGGGAGAAGAGCATGGAAGGAGGAGGGGAGGGATACTTGCAATGGAGATCTCAGGATTTTTAATGAAAACTAATTGCTCTTTGATCGGGGGCAAGGGGACCTGTGTTTCGGTGGCACCCTATAGACATAGGGTAGGTATCCATATAAAACAACCGGTGTAGAAAAAAAAGATTGCCGTTGCTAGCTGGCATACGACTCCTTGATTTGAAAACAAAAATACTTATTGGCTAGATTTACTACACTCGTCAATGGCTGACACTAATAAGATTTCATGAGCGTGTATCGAAATATACGAATAACCCTACCCCCTCCATATTAGACAAACATACCGGTACACAGGGCAGAGAGCAGCCAAGAGGCGTGTAAGCCGGAACTCAAATGCTTAAAACGAATATAAAAGAGTACTGAGTGGTACAAATCATTCTGGTACAAAATTGACTAAAAACTGTATGCTTATGATCAAATTAACAGGTACAAGTGTTTGTTAAAAGGATATAAATTTATAATTGGGCATTAGAAAATACCATGGAATGTACGAAAGTCTCGTCTGGTACGACATGTTTTGGTCGACGACGCTGCCTCTGTATCCGTATGATCCGCATCCTCTCGGCCACCGTCAACCATCACTGTAGGCACATAATCTTCATCGCTGTCCTGGCACACCATCTCAGCAGCCCTTACTCCCTCATCATCCGACTCCAGTGAATGATCCTCCAACCGTGTTCTCTTTCGACGACCACTAGTCCGAGCATTCACTGCCTCTGACCGTTCATCTTCAACACCCTTGACAGGCGAATCATCCTCCATGTCAATATCGTGCTTTACCACCACTTCAGGATCCTCTTGCCAATTCATCCGTCCCGCACGTCGAAATGGAAAGAAGAATTCATCACAGGTCAGATTATTCGTGTGACAGATTTTGTTGTCGTCAACACACCATACCAAGTAGCCAATCGTATGCCCAGGAAAAGCGTTTGCATTTCCGAGCATAATGCCCTGTTTAGCTGGATCTTCAATCTTCGAACTGCGTACATTATTCTTGAAGAATGTCATACACCCAAAGGTCTTGAGAGATTTGAAGTCGAAAACATCTCCATTATAGATTGTATACGGAGAAAGATTGCCGAAATTCCTGAAACTCGGGAGAGCATTGTACAGGTACGTAGCCTGCATAACAGAAAATTCCCATTTCTCGATAGGCAAAGCACTCTGTTTGAGCAAAGTTCTGTGGATAGTACTGACTGCTCGAATTCCTCTCTCAGCCAGCGAATTGTAAACTTGACTGTAATCAGGAATCCGATCCCACTTCAAACCCGTCTCACGAACGAATGCCTCCAACTCTGAAGAAGAAAACTCACTGCCGTTATCAGATATGATGCGTTGAACTCCGTTTCTCTTGACACTTTTCTCCTCCTGTCGAAGTAACTCCATCAGAATATCACTCGTTTGACCCTTGGACGTCATGGGACGCACAATCAGGTATCCGGAAAAAGCGTCGACAACTATAAGAAAGTAACGATAACCCGATGGTTCAGAGACTGCAATCATATCTTTCAAGTCTACATACCACAGAGCATTTACATCTCCAACACGTTCCTGTCGAAATGAGGTTTGTTTGTGAACAGGGCTTGACACAAATTTCGAAATCCTACACACGTGACACGGAGAATGAATCAACCGCCTATTGAATGTAATGTATTTGACCGTATCCGCAAGCAACTTCTGTACTCGACAATCAGGGTGCCCCGTTTTCATGTGCCACAGAACCGCATCAGATAGACTCTGTGTTGACTTCCCATCGAAAGAAGGTCCAGGAGTGACATGTGCTTTAGTCAAACAAACTGTTCCAGCCTCCGCTGAAACACAAAAGATTGGCACATCACCTGCCACAGAATCATGCATCGGACCTCTGGTTGTCAACAGATACAACTTGTCCCGCTGAATCAGAGGAATCCTGATCTTGCCATCCTCCGAAGCCACATAGGATTTGACCGTGTTCTTCGACCCCCGTCCAACAATGTAATACTTGGATCCCAGAAAATCATCCAGACTCACAAGTGGTACAGGAAGGACAGGACAAACTCGAACATTCTCCAATACTATATTGTCCGACTCACCATCTGCACCGACAATTTGCAAATTTAGCTTGCCATACTTGGTACAATTAATCTTTCCTCCTGCCGTCATGACAAAGAAATCGTCTCCCGATTGTACGTCTGAGAGGAGGGATTCGTCCCCAACCATGGTAACATTTGCACCCGAATCAAGCAAAAAATTGACAACCCTTCCGTCACCGTCTCCCACCATACTCTGCATTGCCATTCCTTGAATATCAGTCATCGACATCGTTGAATCAATGCCAAACTGAAACGCAAAGAAGGATCGCCATTCCGCCTGACGGCGACCTGCCTGAGCATTGCTTTCTGAAACATTTTGCTGTACCGTCCTCTCAAAAGGATTGTCCGACACCGGACTACGGCCACGTCCCCGATGGTTAGGCTCAAACGTCTCCTGCCATGGTCCAACCGGCTGCTCACCGTCTGCACCTGACCTCCTTCCCCCCTGGATTTCCCTGGCCAACCGCAGTACAGCCTCGCCGAGAGCCTGAGGAGAAAATTCATGCACATTGTTTCGCCGCTCATGATGTCCTCCCGAACGATCACCTCTTGAGAAACCATCAGACTCGCCTCTGCGTGGATTGTAGTTATGCGTCGTCCAATGCTCCCCTCTACCTCGTCCGCGCATCCCTCTACCAGCCGGACGATCATACGGCTTCCCCCGCTGCTGATGATGACCTCGAAATCCTGAGCCTCTTCCCCGAAAATTATTCCCTTGAAAACCACCGACTCTTCCTTGGTGATTTCGAAAATCATTCGATCCAGCACCAGCGGAGCCTCCACGACCGTAGCCGCCACGAGACCCATCAACATGGTAGGCGCCCCTGCGCCGCATTCCCTGACCCGGATGCTCACCTCGGCCTCGCGTACTCTCCCTCGCGTCCAACGTGCTTCCATCCTCCTGACTGCCAGATGCATTATCCACAGGCGGCGACTCATTGCTGCCTCTCGAGTCTCCCTTTTCCTTACCACCCTGTCCTCCACTTTCAGACGCCTTGTCTGCATTCGGTTGACTAACCGTAGCTTGCACCTCCGAGGCTGCCACATTAACTGACGCAGTGCCCGACTGTGTTTTCTCACCCCCAGCAGTAAAAAATACCTGTTCATCATGCAAATTCACAGCCCAAGAGTACACCTCCTCCCAAGTCAATTCGGTTGACAACTTGGACCGCTTATTCAAGCGCGCGACATCTCGAATATCAATACAATCTGAAACATAACATTGCTTGATCAGCTCCTCCACCAAAATCATTTCCAAGGCTTTCACTGATTCCTCTCCCGCTACATCTTCCAACTTGTTAAGCAGGATCTTCATCTGGACCATAACGCTGTGGAAGGTAGATATGTCAGGCAATTTCGACTTTGCCAGCGTCAGAAGCTCCATCCGCGTTTTATCCGGAGTGGCATTGAGATTCCCACTGCGCTTTCTGACTTCCCATATCATATACGCCAGAGCTTTGATCGGAGCCAACTTGGACTTGAATCCTCCTGACATAGCCCATGGAACAGGAAATAATGGCTTCAGATAGGATCGAAAGTATTGGCCAAGCTCCAGGAGAAAATATTCAACGTCTTCATATAACGCGTTAATCATCGCGGCATCCATCTCCTTGCCATCAGAATCCCTTCGGCTTACCCCCTTCTTTTTCTTCTTGCCAGAAGCACTCACTGGATTGCCGGAATCCCCTTCATCAACAGGACTACCATACTGATCCGACACCGTCTTGGACAAATTTTGCAACTGCTCCACATAATCTCGAATCTGCCCGCTCTTCCTCCAACAAAATTTGGCATTCAGGAAAAGCAAAACGACCTGCCTTTTCCATTCCTCCGTCAACTCGCCATCCACATTCACACTCTTGTTCTTTTCCCATACAGTATGAAACTCACCACCAAAATTACCGAGTTGATCGAGTGGAAACTCTCGTATCAGCGGGAACAAACACATGCCCAATCCTGTCCGATATCGATTCATTGCATTCTGAATCGGAAGCAGAAGTTCATCCAATTCCTCCTGTGACGTCACCGATCCTTTGAGGAATGTGTCCATCTGTAACTCAGGATACATGTAAAGGCCTAGCAGAAATGATAACTAAACTGCACTGGTACTCTTTGGAGGTATCTCTTGCTGCCGTTGAAAACTTGTTTGAATTCACACGCCACCCCAAAAAAAAAGCTTCTCGAAAAGAAGAGTGGAAATTAACGAAAGGGCTAAAAGTGAACGGCATGAATTTATGAAAGTTTATAGTTCACAGTAAATTTCCCATAAAATTTGCGCAATGGCTTCAGAAGAGGAAGAAAGACGGTGCTGTGAGCGATTCTGAGTAGATGAGAGCATTCTTTTCCTCTTTACATCATAGCTAGCCATATGACAATGGATGTATGATGTACACAATGATCTTGAACTACAATCTCACGATTCAAACCTCATCAATATATTGCCACATCGCAAGGAAAGCGACAACCTTAACTCCTTAGTCCACCATCACCTTCGTTCTTCATTCCTACACGTCCATTACCACTCACTTTTTCTGTGGAATATCGGCACTTGCGTACGTCATATGTTTTGCTATAAAATCTGTCACTGTAATCATCGCATTCGTCTAACTACCGGTTCTCAACGATGCAATCCGTCTTGTTCTCTGCACCAGGTCGCTACAGACTGCCAGGTCCGTCGTTGCCTCCCTTCTTTCCTCGGTAGTTTCAAGCATTCCACGCACTGCTTGAAGATTTCCTTGGTTTCCTCCATGGTTGCGTTCTCCTTATACACTCCTTTCTCCTGTGCACATTGGTCTATTTTGCCCATCAGATACCTGAAGTCACTCAAACGTTTCCTTGCATTCTGGTCGGCAAAATCACTCGGTTCCAGGTTTTTGAATGGTGGATACCCTTTTTCTGCATTTCCTTGCATCCACCACTCGTAAGCCACATCAACGAACATCTTTGGCCATAAAAAATCTTCTGGCAGAAGGCGAATGCGTCGACCCCAGTTGTATCCGTTCACCTGCAATGCTCCACTCTGCTCAACTTGTGCAGGCTGTCTTGGACTGCTTTGACAGTCTGCCCTCCCATTCACCTGTCTCATCAGGACCTCTAACATATCCTCCATATGACGAAATCCGCATATTGGGATTCAGGGGGCTGCACCGGTATATGAAATTCCAGGTTTACTGATTAGCGCTTTTAATGACCGGTACTTTTGACTGCTCATATACGGGTACTTGCCCTCGCACAGAAGCACCCTTTTACCCCCATTATCATCTAGTAATAGGGGGTGGGGTATTTGAATTGTCATGGGCGGTAACCTTCAAGACCACCCCACTCCCCTCGAAACTTTTAACAGACGACATGTTTTAAGGCTGCGAAAACGTTTTAGAAGGATACGGATAATCATAAAACAAATATAAATTGGAAACACAGTAGAAAAGACTTAGAAATTCAATACAAATGTTCGAAGGTATTTTGTACCTGATTCAAATTCATGGTGTACTGTGTTTCTTTGTTTGGTACAAGAATGAAGCCACCGGGTCCTTCTCTGCTAGTGCTTTGACAAATAGGGGGTAGGGTAGTCCCCCCTGTTCCCCTGATCCCACCCCACCCATCCCTATTTCAGGGATTTAAATGTTTCCCAGAGGCCAGTTGCCACGGCTCTAGTTGAGAGACATGTCACTGGGATCTTGAAATTTACCAATATACTTTGAACATTGAAACATTGATTAATCATGTCAGGACCAAATCTATCAAATCCGTCATCCCCACCTTTTGCAAGGAAGTTCGTGCAGACGTCGCAAACCATCACCCTGCCAGGCTGGATGATGATGAATTCAATCAACTCACCTGGGAGTTTCTGGCAAGACGAGAGGGCTTCCTCTATAAACAAGGAGAAGGCCATAGGTTTGAAAAGAGATCATTTGTAAAATTCAAATCTTTGTAACACCTGGGATGCAGGTAGATCTCCTGAGTTGTTGCTTCGAATCTTACTAGAGTCTGAGGAGCATGGAGGTTTTAGTGATCATGTGGATGAAGCCATGCGCGAAGCGATTATTTCCCCTGACTCCGATGAACCAAACCCGGCTTGTTACGATGCTATCAAAGATCCAAAAGTGAAAACAGCGATTCTGACGAAGATCCAGGGTGACACTGATGAGCCTCGGACCTTCTAGATGTGGTCACGAAGAAGGTAGATCGGCAATTTGCATCACACAAGGCCAATTTTCGAGTGAAATGGGGACATTTTGCTGATCTATTACACCGCTAGAATGAGGAAGACTCTGCCGGGGGAGAGGAAGCGGTCGAGGGGCCGCGAAAGCAGAACTTCCGAAGTGCAAAACTTCGAAATACGATAGCCTTACGTTCTTCTTAAAAAATGAACTTGCCACGAATAAGGAGCTTCAAAACTGCCTGAAACCTGTGGTCAGACAAATGATGGCTACCCCACGGGAAGCAGCAGTTGCCCTCACAGCAAACGGTATAACGAAATCGCAGTACCAAGGATTCTGTCGTGCAAACGATAGCATGGCTGGCTGCTTTGTTCATTTGCCAAAAATATCACAGGTAAGAGTGGATGGTGGGACTCATGGTCTCGGCCTTCTTCAACTTGTCGAAGAGTGGATTGATATCTTCAACCTTCACAGGAAACACAACGGCTTGTTGTCACGATCAATGGAGACTATGACTGTGCAACAATGACATTATCAACTGGCAATCCTAAGAAGGCAACTGAAGTCACCATTTCCATTTTTGTTTCAGGAAAACGTCGAAGAGAGGAAAGAAAACATGAGCCGTTGATGAAGTCGTCCCCAGAAACTTGCTGAGCATGGTGAGTTGGCCCTCAATGTGGAACCGCGGCAAAGCAAGAGAATTACAAATGATTTTGAATACATAAATTTAACCTAAAAGTTTTATTTGCTATCTTTGGCGCGGATGAGCTTGTAAGCTGAAATGGCCTTGGTAAGCCGGCTTAATAGGAACTATTTGGGTCCAGATATTTTTTCCAGTCTAGCCATAACGCTAGATCTTGGCAAATCTGAAAATCAGCCATCCAACCTCGTTAGCGGCAGTTTCTGTCTTCACAAGCTGATTGTCAATGGCCCATACTACCAGTCCCTCGTGGCCGCGAAACGCAGTTGTGAATCATGAAAGGGTATGTTCAATTACATTTGCACAACAGAGGTTCTTAGAAATGGCTACTACCTTTATTGGGCCCAATCAGTTTGCACGATCTCAGATAGAAACAAAACAGCATTGCACGTATCCTGTATCTCCACATTCAATCTCAAAGGAGCTTCTTCTGCTGCAGCAAGACAACGAGTCTTTGGTTTTCCTCTCAGCTGCAGCCACCATTGTTTAAATTCCAATTGCCAGTGAAGTTCAACGGTATTGCTAAGTTGAACGACTCCACTCAAGACATTGGCTTGCAGTTGTCTGAAGATATCCTTGGTGTAAAGAATGTAAACATCTACATGACTCTCGATTACTTTTTGTCTTATACCATGCCCGAGTTGTTTGTTTGAGTCACCGTCCAAGAACGAGATTCCCATACTTGGTTTTAGAAAGTCACGCGTTTGCGACTCGCAAACGCGTTTGCGAGATTTTGATCAATTGAGGTACTCCCATCTTGGGCGGCAACTCATCGGGAGGAACAACAACTGGGAGGTGGGATGGTTGGAGGGGCGGGGAGGGGAAGGGATGGTCGTCGGGAGCCTGTGCGAGAAGGAAGGCCCCGGTGGTTGGAGGGGTGGGGAGGGGATGGTTGGAGTGGCGGGGAGGGGAAGGCCGGATGGTTGGAGGGGCGAGGAGGGGAAGGCCGGATGGTTGGAGGGGCGGAGAGGGGAAGGCCGGATGGTTGGAGGGGCGGAGAGGGGAAGGCCGGATACAGTTAAATTGAGACTGGACGGGAACGGATGGT